CGAACACTTTTCCGTTCTATTTCCGGCCACTGAGCTACAACAAAATGTTCTATTTTCGACGAAATCGTTTATTTGTCTATCGAATGATGTCACATAGCTTTCGAAGTAAACGAGAAATTCCAGGATGGGGTAGACGAACTTGTGCAGCATGGATCGGAATTCACCAGCCTTCATTAGACGGTATTGGACTTACTGCTATCGACACTGCTTGCGAAGCTTCAGTTGTGTTCTTTTCGAATTGGAACATGGGTTTGGAATCGGAGAAGCAAGAAATCAAAAGTTCTACTCAGCTGATGATCACAATATTTACAGGAATGAAGAGGAGTATTGCTTTTAAACAGAGAAGCATTATTTTGTATGAAAAGCATTATCTTCTTAGTAGTATGAGGGATAAAGCTCTCGGCGTTAATCAATTGCTGAGGGAAGCGTTGTGCATTCGACTTCATCAAGCATGGTTTGGAGGTGAATGAATGCATATCTGGCGTTTACAATGAGTCGCGGTGGCCTGCTGATGTATCTTGCCAGTGTTGCTATCCTCCTAGACAAGTCTGGTGCCAATTTATCGACCCCGGAAGGATGGAAGACTTTGTGGGTCATGGGCGGAGGGATCGATTCCACGTGTGTGTTGCAGGGTTCCTCTGACCACTGCGCCACACGCGCCGTCTTAGTAGCGTAGTAGACATAATGTAGACATACCAAAGAAGATCTGCAGTTACTCATCCTCTTACTGCAGACAGAATTTCAAACTAGATAAATTTAAGTAAGCAGTAGAATAATTCGTAGTAAACGCATTGCTTTAGCTAAATAAATCTATTTGCTACTAGTAATTAAGAGTGATCGTTTCGACCACTAAAGATAAGAAAAGCCATCAAGGTTTTAAAAGAAATTGAGCGCATGGGTTAAAGCAGCAAAACGCATATTTATAGGAAAGAGACGACGAAAAGGACGCCCTTCATCTGATAAAATGATATATGGGAAGGTTGTATGCACTCCTAACGACTTAGTTGCGAAAATAATAAAGTTAGCCGTGTGCCGTTTTGATGTCGAAAATTTCAACCAACTTCGACAGAAGATGCTAATGACAGCTTCATCCACTTATTGAGATCCATTTTGGGCTCTTGAGTGTCTTTTTTTGAATGGTATATGCCTGCGCATTTTGGGTAGCGATTGTGCTTTCTGAGAATGGTAAAGCAAAGTGCATACTTGTCGCCCTGCCCTGTTGTTGTGCAGATTGAGGATAGAACGCTGACTGGCATTTCTACCCCGTTCGGCAGCGTCCACGAACTCGCGCGATATCGCAATCCCGTACTGCACGTTGTCCGAGCAGCCCTGGTAGTCGTAGTTCCGCACCTAAATCGTTCGATGAAAACGACTATGAGTTGGTGATGGTGATGGATGCATGGTAATGCGTCAAAGTGGCGAGTGACGGCTACGCCTCTCGACAATCCCTATCATAACCTCTGTATTCTAGTTTTTTATTGTTATGCTATTTCGGTTCCGCTTATTGTCCCATTGTGCATATTAGTTATCAGTAGGCTTTGACCAAGCAAGATATCATATTTCGTCTGGCAAACAGGGTTGTCCAGAAGTGCTTTTCTTGTAAAATTATCAAGTCGGTAGCCCTAAGTGTTGCATGCATTTCTTAAATTGCTCACAAATTTCCCTTAATAAATGTGTCGAAAAAGGTTTAAAAAATTCTACCATAAAGCATGAAAAAGTGCGTAAATGTTAACTAAGATTTTATATTTGCATCGTGTTCATCATAAAACTGAGTTGAGAAGGAAATCTGCAGGAGAAAAAATCTACCGCTCCCTATGGATGTCCAAGAAAATGAATTTCACCTTAGTCTCGCTATTAGATGTCGATAAAACCTCTAGCAGTTTCCGTTGATAGTTTTTAGATGAAAATCGGTTTACACTCAATTAAATTACTTAGTGTTTGAATACAGGAAGAGGGTAGCGTAGGGGTAGTGATACCGTTTATGACGTGGACGGTCCAACCTACCTACGCCCTGGTTTGACACCGCACCATGTCCACCAAGACTCTCATTACTCCGGAGTGGAGAAATAGCACCAGACTTATCTGGGACAGTCTAGCTCCCCAAAAAAACACATGAGAGCGCTCTAACAGGGATGCCCCAAGATTCCAGAGTGCATGGAATCGACTGGCATTCAAACTACATTGTTGACGATGACGAAAACTCCTATAACAACAGCTGAAGCTAAGTGCAGGGAATTCCGTAATCTCTCGTGGGTGGTAGATGTGAGGAAACGAATCGGATGCAAAAATTGTTGGAGTCCACAGAGTCTAACAGATGTGACGTCTTCTCATGTAATAAAATATAAACAATAAGAAATGTTAGACTATGCTTCGGAATATGCTGTAGCAAGAGTAGAGCGAAAGAACGCCATGATATCAAAATCGATTCAAACGACAATCGCGAAATTCGAGCAAGTGTTTTCGACGAGCATAATGATTTCACGCATTAACGTTGACTGCTACGCAACCTAAGGAGTTGTGCTCATCTACCGGACAGCAAGAGCACAACACATTCATACCATTCAAACCATACCCAAGGGCCCTGTGGCCAACGCATAACCCACGCAATAAGGACATAGAATATGATGATCTAAAAGGGCCTCACTGAATCTGCAAGTTATAAATTTTCCAAGTCTAGAGCAAAGGTTGTATGGGTAGGCTTGTCAAAAAGTACCTCAGGGCATAAAAAAGTGAAATTCAGCTAAAATGTGCCAAAAAGTTATGTTCGAATGTAACAACTGATCCCAACCCGTTTATCACGGAAAAAGCACTTATGAAACACTAGAACGAGCAATGGCCAGTTATATTTATTTATGTGGTACCCACATGCGGATCGAGACTGACGCCAGACTGATCACATCCACAGCGCTCGTTTAAGCCTCGTGCACAATCTCGTGTCACCCTTAAATAGATGAATAATTATAAAAGGTAAATTGTGGGCGATACTATGCGATGCGTTACACTGCATAGTTCAGGGTACAAACCGACCTGTAAGCAACGCCTGCAGCCGAGACGGCGTGGACGAATGCCGATTCTCGGGTTCCTTCTCGCATCATCACGTCGCTGATCAGCTGCAGAGTCACCGGATCGATCAGAGTGCAGTTCCATCTGGGACATATTGCCATTAGTGAAGACTTACGAGCTGGGTGAAGTTGCAGTCCGGCTGGGTCTCATTGTGCTCAGACAGCCATGTCGCCCTGCTCGACTAGAACACGGTCACGTCGCAGATTCTCCTCATCGAAGATGTAACCTGCGCGCGAATTGACCTATGTTGCCCACCTTCGCTTGTTAAACTGGTACTGACATTCGGCGTAGGCGTTCTGGGCTCCATAACGAACACTTTCCATCATGTCGGGATTTTTTCGACAAAATCTGCAACGTCATCAGCATAAGAAAAGCAACTTAATTCATATCGTTTCCGATGAGACTTATCTTTTGTTAAATTTCCTTATTTTACATTGAATACGCACGAACGGTTTCCGTCTTCTTCAAATAAAGTTAACGAAAAAGCGGCCATAGATCGCTCTGGGACGTTTTTCGATTGAAGGGATGGGTTCCCGGTTCTTGGTGTGTCCAATCACTTCACAACTTTCTACACCCAAATGAATGGGGATGCTTGTACACTGACTGCATCATAAACATCAACCAAAACCGAAAGAGGAAACCAGGTAAATTACTTATTGATAGCCTCTCGATAAAAATGTTAGGAATAAAACGCTTCGTAATCCACGAGCCCTTCAAGAAGAGCTCAGTGAGCAACCCTGTTAGGTAATAGGATAAAAAGTGAGTTCGCAAGCTAACCGATTAAATAACATCATGACTGCAGGGTTTTACAAGTAATATGGGTTATACTGGTGACTTTCGACAGTGTTAATTTTTTACAGAAGCTCACTTTATTTGTTTTTTTGTCAGTCCTTTCATATTCTTGCATGAGTAGGCTACTCTGGACCGGTCGAGACGATTTCCACTTAGTCCAAGGGCTCTGAAACCGAGAACCAATCAGAATACGAATACGACATTGCATTTGTCTGGCAGAATCAAGACCTCTGGTTATCATTATTGAGTCATCAATAATTCAGTAAGAGCTAATCACATAAAACTATGAGATAAGGAACCAAATTCACACCACACTTTTCAAAGTCGGTTGTTGCTTCATATAATGGAGGTGATGAAATGTGTTTTATCAAAGCCTTGAAAAAACAATCGCTTTTAAAAAATTTTCCTTCTTGCGACCGAGGCATTTCTTCTGTATCGCTGACTTCACGTTGTAAGAAACCTCCTTAGTGACCATTTCTAATGATGTTACCCACAAAAATGCATATTACCAGGCCTGAGTCATGCACGAAAAAGTGTCTCGATTTTAACCGACTTCTCTTCTCATCTAAAGCATACAGTTAAATCTCAACAACTTGAGGACGACGAGACATTTATTGTTTTCTGGCGACAGTTCCAAAAACTTTAAAGGCACAAATGAATTTGTAAAAGGTCGGCTGCTACGAAAGTCGATCTGCAGCGGTTCGATCACTCATGGTTGGGTCCAAGAAACCATCTGTGCTTCTAGAAACTATGTATGGTCAAACTTTGGAATTTGATTGTGATTAGAAGCAACAGGTGCAAACAAGAGTAAAACAAGTCGAGGAAATAGCATCAGCCGGAGATCAAGAAATCCTTTCAGTTGAAATTACGATTTGGAACTGTTGACTGGCTACAACTAAATGATTTCTATAGATCCATCCGGTTATTTGGATACAGTCCTATCCGCTCCTAAGTGAGGTAATACACTAGATTTGAAAAACGACTGGTTCACTTAAGTTTGGTAACCTAAGCAAGCTATAATGGAAAAGACAGGTTGCACAAAAATTCATTCAATAGCTTATGCAAATGGCGCTGTCAAAAAATCTACAGAAGCTGGTAGCGAAAGTAGAAAGGCAGTGGCAAAGGAAAAATGAAATATAACTAGAAACCTGCTGGTATTGTAGCAGCACAGCGGTGACAAGTGGAAAAGTTAGAAGCACTGAAAAACACCTGCACGAGCTGTTTGCGCAGACCTATTATGGAATAAAGTAGACATCAATTGACCGAGCCGAGCACCCAGCTCCCGGTCCGCCTGCCGACGTTGCTGCTCTTTCCTATAAGTTCGTAATGGACATGATGCGAGAACAAAAGCTTGCCGCTTCGAAATCTCCGCATGTTCTGGCCACCACATAGAGAACAATCGTATAGTGGACCAAGATACTATTCACACTTGTTCCTTTTGTGCTGTTTGTGCGGCTAAAGTGCATGTTGAAGTGAAAACAACTGCAAAGCGAGACGAGAGTGGCGACGTGAACGTCCGTGCAGGTTAGTATACGTACAGTAGTTTGAATCAGTTATTAGATACTAATGATTACTAATTCGTGATAGAATGCTCGAGTTTATACTAGCTTGCCAAGCAGGACTTTTTGATGTTACCGCAGAGCGGCAAGTCCTTTGATCCTTTAGATAGTGGGTTATAGTCGTTTATCGCAACAATGGCACTACAATATTAACGATGTGACGATACCCAGAAAAGTAAGGAATATAAGTGCCAATACGAAGATGAAAACAGTAAGAGCATTCGTTGAACTAATTTACTCGGATGACGAATAATGCCCTTGTATTCCTTCTTTGGGCTTCTACATCATCTTTGAGCGGTTGGTTACTTCTTCATTCCTATTTTCGTTTCTGATTTCGGTTTTAACATCTCTCCAAATAAACTAGTAGGAAGACCGAGCGAAGGGTTCGTCGCCGAAAACACACCTCCCTCTGAACCACATCGTGGTAAAGACTTGCAAGGTTACGTCAGGACTCCAGAGAGGACCAAGTTGCACGACCAGCAATTGGCCAACCTCAGTACACCGCACATTGAGCGCTCCCGTCTATGACGTCAGGCGGTGAGAAGCCAAAAAATCTCGCGTTTCGCAGGACGTCAGTGGAACCGTATCTGATGAACACACGCACGACACGCCATGGAGATTGTTTCTTAGTACGTATAATGCAAGAACACTCTCCACAGACGCCGATCATCACGCCCTTCTTGTAGCCGCAGATCGAATTAAATTTTACGTGATCCTATTACAAAAAACAAAAATCAAGATGACCGACATGTGCCAACTAAACAACGGGACCCTTGTGATCCCTGGAGAAAGGGTCCCGTCACGAAATGTCAGTGGCGTAGGCTTTGTTGTCCACAGGTCCATTGTCCATCTCGTCGACACACACGAGATCTTTTCCCCTCGCATAGCCGTCCCCCGTCTTCAGCTGCCGCATCATAAGGAGGTCACTATCAACAACTGCTACTCACCAACCGACGCAGCTGATGAGTACGAATTAAATGCGTTCTACTATCAGCTGGAGGAAGTCATCCGCAATAATAAAGCATATCATAAATTTATTGTTGTAGACTTCAACGCCAGAATAGAAAAGGCCAACGAGAGCGAATACAGGATCAGAAATTTTGGATTAGGAGAAATAAATGAGAATTGGAACCGTCTCGCAGAACTCCTGTCAGCTGCACGTCTCTTCCATGGGAATCCGTTCTTCCAGAAGAAAGAAAGCCGCCGCTGGATATGGGAGTCTCCCAACAGCTTGACGCATGAGGAGATCGACCATATTCTTACAAGCAGAAGATGGTGTCTACTTGACACATCGGTAGTTTCGTCATTTTGTACTGGTTCCATCACCGCCTTCTTTGCGCGAAGATTCAATTCAGCCGCAAGCTGGAAAAGAACTCTCTTCATCGACCACGAGGAGAAAGTCTAGCTGTATACGACGAAAACATTCTGAGCGAAGTCCTGTCCAAACTTGACTGGCAGATTAAAGAAGACCCGATCGAAGACTACCAGCTGTTTGTCGAAGGACTGAAAAGCTGTGTCGAATTCGCCTCAGATCCTCAAGCAAGCAGATCGGATCGCATCTCCATCACTACTAAGGAGTTGCTCGAAAAGAGAAGGAAACTGAAGCTTGACCCTATTGCAACACGGTTAACATGGCTGGTAATAAATGCCAGCTGCAGAAAAGCTTTGCAGGAAGATCTACAACGGTAGAAGCAGAAGAAACTACTGGAAGCAGCAGAGAAAAGAAGCAGTATGAAAAAATGCCGTCGGAAATTGTGTGATTATAATGTTCCGCTGTCAGCTCTTATGAACGAAGATGGGGCCGTCAAAACTTCCTCCATGATATGGAATTAATAGCGGAAACCTTCTACACCAACCTTTTCCGTTCCGCAATCCCGGCCTTGAGCCCTAATATCCCCGCTGGAGAAAAGCCACCTGGAATTCTTCCGTCGGAGTTTCGAGTTGCGATAGAAAGCATGAAAAGAGGCACAGCTCCAGGACCCGATAATATCACTGCCGATTTCCTTACAACTGGAGGCCACAATTCAAATGTACTCCTTGCAGATCATATGACAGGCAACCTTCAAAAGGAAAAAATCCAAGACCAGTGGAGGACGTGAGGCACGGTTACCCTGCCTAAGAAAAGAGACTGAAAGAATCTTCGTAACTACCGTCCCATATGCTTGTTTAGTGTACTCTACAAACTTTTCACGAAGATTATCCTCTCGCGCATATCAAGGACATTGGATGAGGCACAACCAGTCGAGCAAGCAGGATTTCGAAAAGGATTTTGCTGCATGGACCACATCTAAACCGTGTCCAGCCTCATCGAAGTTTGTCGGGAATACCATTTTCCTCTAGTCTTAACCTTTGTCGACTATGAAAAAGTGTTTGACAGTGCCGAAACGAATGCAATCCTATCAGCGCTCGTCAGCCAAGGAGCGGACCCATCCTACATAAGAACTCTGTACGACTGTTATCGGAACTGCACCACGAAAATACAGCTTTTCCATCGACTCCTTACAATACTCATAGGAAAAAGGGTTCGACAGAGCGACACAAGATCGCCATTGCTGTTCAGTGACGCACTGCAGTGGATAATGAAGTTACTCGGTCGGGAATAGAAAGGCATACATGTTGATGGAAAATTCCTATCAAACCTTCGTTTTGCCGACGACATTGTTATCTTCTCAAGAAGTACTAGCAAAGCAGAGGTGATGATCAACGAGCTCAACGAAGCGGGGAGAAAGAACGGACTTTGCATAAATCGAAAGAAGACCCAGTTCATGAAAAACCCGTGGTGCGAAGGCGAAAAAATTAAATTGGATGGCTCTCTAATTGCAGAGACCAACTCATACGTTAGGCGATCAATGAACACGGAAAACAACATGAAGGAGGAACTAGATAGAAGAAGGAGAGCAGCTTGGGCAGCATTCGAGCCTCTCAAAGAAGCCACCGACCAACTGAAGAACCCGAAAATCCGTGCTCATCTCTTTTATTCTGCGGTCCTCCCACCGCTCCGTTATGCTGCAGAGACGTGGGTTGATAATTCAACTACGTCAGGAATGCTTCGCACTACTCACAGAGCACTTGAGCGATGTCTTCTGAAATATAACCGGCACTCTCAATATTTAGCCGGAATGCGAAGCTCCGACCTTCGAAATCTGTCACATCTTAGAGATCCAGGAGAATATACATCCACAGCGAAGCATAGATGGGCCGGTCACATAATGAGAAGAACAGACGATAGATGGACGATAGTAGAGTGGACTCCAAGAGAATGCAAACGTCCACCTGGACGACCACCTACACGTTGGACGGACGTGTTGGTAAACAGAGCTAATCAGCTGTACCTGCAGCTGCAGTTATTTTACAGATCACGGTATGAGACTCGCAAGCGCTACCATACTCAAACAAGACCACCACCATGGACTACGATTGCGAAAGAAAGGAACGAATAGCATATGTATTGGGGTCCGCACAGCTCGTGGAGACGGATCGTCCAAGTATCTAAGTAAGTTTTCCTTCTGTAATGGGAAGAATTTTGAGAGAAGAAAGTAGAGTTGGGGTTTAAAGGGAGATTCTAGAAAGATTCTCGGTTAGTACAGTCAGTGAATGGCCTGCTTGGACAGAAAGTTCACTAAAGGCTATACAATAGCTTAAACAGAAATTATATTTGAAAGAAGCACAGTAGCTTTTGTAGAAGGGAAACGTGAACTTGACTAAGAAGTGATAGGAGACATTCGTTATTTTGTAGAGAATGTGTCTATAGAGAAGGATGAACGGCGAGTTCGTCTACTCGAGAATGACCCCACATCCTGTATGTTGTTAGGGCCTAATGGTCCTCTAGGGCGAGTGCGACGCAATAGTTAGAGATGTTCTCCAAAGGAGGTTGTCGGTTCGATCTCACGCTCCGTGTTCAGCAAGACTTGCACCCTTCTCGCGTCGAACAGTTGGCACCAGAATTCTCTGGGAGGATAGCAGCACCAGCTCGATACATCGATTGGGTACCGTAAGCCATTGTCTTAGCCAGATATGCATGCAATCACCTCTGAAGGTGATTCAATAAGTCGCACGCATGGCTCTTCCCGTTGACACTGATCAACGCCTACACCTTTAACCTTTATCCTCCTTCTTTAAAGTAATATGTTCACAAAGACCCTTAAGAATCGAGGCACAATGAAATCTCGGATAAACAGCTTCCAATACACTAACACCTTTATATCCTTCCATACCTCTATTCTATCTATTTTTTTTAAAACAAACCCTTCTGATTTTACACATTCTTTTTATCCACGGACACCATCGTTCGAAGAGAAACCACTCAATTTCCTTTTGAAGACTGATCTCAGGCAATCAACTGACATGGTAATGCATGGTACCACATTCAAAAAAATCCTGCTTACATAAAACTGGAAGAAAACTGGAAAGCTCTGCAAAGATTTCTGGACAGCCCAGTTGTTTATTTGCAGTATGCGCCTGCTCTTCAAAACAATAGCGCAGACAAGTTTGGCGAAAGTGTAAAGATCTACTGAAACAATGTGCAGAAGGTCTAATGGACCAGCTTGAGGTACATATTTGTCTGAGTCCACTTTAATCCACTGTAGTAACTTCGCCTGTCAATGGTTTACCGCCTCGTCGTGACTGGGAGGTGTTCCTGGGTGTCGGGCTGTATGCACAGGGCGGATTCATCCTCTGGCACGGTTTCCAAAGCTGAGAAGGAGTCCGGCGTTTCAATTGGAAAGCCCAGCAAAAGTAAACGACTCCCAGGATCCGTCACCGTCCCGGTATCAAACTAGTTGCATGGTGGAATATCTCCTTCTAAACCACAAGTGCGGCGACTGCCCGTGGT